TTATATTCCTTCACTGTTATCCACCGCCATGTTCCTGTATAGTAGAAAGTCAACAATTGGAATTACTCTACCACAGTGGTTGCTATCGCCTGGACCTGTCCTCCTCCGCAAAAATGTGCGTTTCTCCAAATACGACCCTGTTGTCGAGGAAATCGGTCTATCAGAGTGTAACCCGGAATACGCCCATGTTCGGCTGTCGCGAGGAAATAGTTGATTTATGTCACTTGGCACCTAGGTGACACGACAGCGATCTCCCAGAGGTAATGACATACAACTACAAAGATTCGTCGGTCCCCTCTCAAACACACTCGTGTGCATCCACATGAATTCTCGCTTACTTCCTCTGAGCTTCGTGAGAATACCGATAGGACGCTCATCAAACAACAGAGAACAAGACCGTATTGTTTACGTAATCGCGACGCTTAATTTACATAATTACATCTGTTTATCATCTATCGGCGAGGGAGAGTGACCTGAATTTATGCCCTTACGTTGCTACTGTTTCTATACTGTTGTAAACTATCGATTTTCAATTTGGGGTTAGAACCCATCGTTTGTTCTATCGTAGCTTGCGTACCGACGTTTATCGATGTGTAAACCCTAACTCTGAAACCTACGTATTCTCAATCGAGACGTTCAATTTGTCTAGTGTATCGTACTCAATCTCACAACAATCAGTCTACCAGTTAAAGGGAGAGTGTACGACGGCGCGATAAGGCCGGTGTTACCGTATGAATCTGAGAGCTGGTCAATCCAGTGAATGAATTAAATGCTTAGCCGTGTTTGAAAACCGGCACTTGGGGAGAAATTTCTACATCTGTTGGGAACACCGCGCGAACACTGATGGGGTACACCAGCTGGCATTTGGCGAGAAACAATGTGGCGCCTCACTTGATTTTGCTAAAGCGGAACCGCTTACGTCGTCTTGGTCAAGTCTTCCGTATGCCCGTTGATCGGTTTCCTCTGTCATCCAAGGGGCTTAATTGGTCCTTCCTATCAACGTTCGTTCATTATGATCAGAAGAAGCTCTCGTTTAGAGGCCTGTAAGTACAAGGTCCGTGACGAAGAAGGGATGCAGAACAATTCCGTCGGATCGCCTGTATGGCCGTCACGCTGAAAATCATCCAGTGACTACTTGTGCCATGGATCTCAACAAACACCTCGGTAGTGGATGAATCTCAATTTGCGTACAGAACACAGTCCCACGTTGGATGCAGCAGCATATCTTGTTCACACAATAGCACCTTCATTGGATGTAAAATGTGAAACTGTGTGGCTTCTTCATCTTGATTACATCGTCGCTTTTGGAAGTGCCGACAGGTCAGTCCTGCTTAATGAGCTGTTTGCGAATGGCGCTAACCAATAAAGTGCAGCCTGATGAGCAACTACGTAAATCGCTTTCATTTCATGCAGGTAAACTGTAAAATTTAACCCCTATTCGTGATGACTGGGGCGTTTCACAAGGAGCACTCCTCTCCTCTCTTCAATTCTCTCCACCCTTCAAAATGCTTCCAATTCCCCCCCCCCCCAACTTTATTGGATGTAAGTACGCTGACGACGTAGTTCTAGGCAGCATTGTCCCAAATGCGGAATCATAAATGGCTCTCCAAAGTGGTGGTTGTCGTTCCGATCCCTTATTCGCAATGTTTCTAAATGCAGCGATGTAACTCAGTTTTCGCTGCACTGACAAACGTCTGTCTTTGGCAAACACTTCTCACTCCACAACGCTTGGCAACAACAACATACCTAAATCATCCACTGTTAAGTGCCTTGGTGTTTAGTTATCTCATAGTCTATCCTAGTCAACAAACGACGAAAAGTTCCACAAGGAGTGAAAATTATCATTTTATGCACTGAGACTCAAAATATTTTCAGTACCCTGCATCGTAATATACAAATTCATGATTGTCTGATTTCTTTCTAATTGGCTATGCTGCTCAACTATCATTTTTCCTGGGTTTTTTTGCTACGAAAAGGCTTCACATCGATTGTGCGTCCCATTAAGCCCATTTCCAAGTGTAGTGAATTGTTCAGAGAGCTTCTGGTTGACTTTATCGTTACTAGGTATGTGACAACTTTCCAGCAAAGATTTAAATGAACCCTATAAACCATTTCAAGTTGATTTATCAAAATCTCTCTCTGCTATAGATAAAGAGCTTTGTTTTCCTCGCACATCATACCATAACTCGAGCTTATCATATTTGTCCAGTTTATTCGAGTAATGTGCATACATGCCTTTGTTCTTTTTACGTTTTGATTGCAATTTTATGTAAATGTCATACCACATTACATCTGCACTGCTACTTTAAAATGTAGAACATGTTCCCAGTCAGGGTCATAAAGCTTATAGGTTGATTTGATTCCAGCGAGCTATGAAAAGAACCGTGAAGACCGCAAGTTCGAGTAGCGTAAGGCACTCGAACGACGAACAGATTCACAAGTCATCGGTCAGTTAGCTACAGCTCTGGAAATGGTCCCGGTGGATAATCCGTTTTAGGCCGGCCTAACACTACGGCGGTGTTTTGACAGGGGGAATCTCAGAGTCGACAGGGGGCGTTGATGCAGAAAAATAACTCGAGATAGAGAGAATGCTGTCGAGAACAACCAAATGCAATGCTAGCTCACTAAAAAGCATGGATACAGAAAATCACAGTGAGCGCAGAAAAACGGACAAGGAATTTGCTTTCAAAATCACCAAGTAGGAGGTTACAAGAGCACCTTCGTAGGCAGAAGTACTGTCCCCTAAATCCTAAAGAAATATGAAATGAACGAGCACTTTACGGCAAATATATATATATATATATTCAGGAGTAGGGAATTTCGATATAGTTAATTGAGGGTCGGTCGCAGCCAGTTCCAAATCAGACAGTCGTCCACATGTCCAGAAAAGCACTAGACTGCAGTTTCAGCTTGTCAGGCATCATCAGCACTGCCCATCTACCGCATCCATCAGGATTCAAACCCATGATCACCAACGGCTTGCACCGCCAGTCAGCAGCTTATGCCGCCAACCATCCGGTTTCGGATTTGCCTGTCACTGTGGCAAGCCACAGGACGCCTGCGCCTACAGAGGGACCATGGGTGACTTGCGCTGCACCACCCACAGCTCCAACCACACCCCATATCCAGTGTAAACCCGAAGGAATAAGACCGGGAGGCATGCGGATGGGAGCCACGTTTCATCAACGGAGCCGGCCCACACTCCTTCACAGGCAAACACAAGCACACTGTAGTTGGGGAATCAAGCGCACACAAGGCGGTGGCTGGACCGTAGTCCGCTCCATACTGAGTGCATGGAACCACTCTTCGAGCCTAACACGGCTACAAGAACCGTGCACCCCGTCCCCTCCAGCAACGACCAACTGTCTCCTGGAGCCAGTATGGACGAGGTAGTGGGTAATAGACAGGTAGGCACCTTGTCAACATGCACATCAAGCGCAGCCACACCGGGGATATCAAACAACAGCCAGTCACTTGAGAGAGAAAGAAAAAGAGAAAAACTCGATTAATGCATAAGGAAACGGTGACATAAACCTTAATTAAATAGCATACGCAATAAGTTGTTTACAAACAAATCCTAGCTAAGTGCACGAGGTCAGGAAGTATAGTTCACGGAATGCCACGAACACAAAAATGTTATGGAAATCGAATACAATTGGCTGAAGCGATGTGTGCAAGTTAATGGAATAGAGTACAGGGAGATATTTATATGAGAAAGCATTAAGGTAAAAACTGTAAACCCACCACCTGAAATAAAGAGACTTAGCATGCAAGCACGCGGTTAGCAAATCGAATTCAGCGTGCCTACAAACGCTGCGCCGGCGCATCGTAATTCTCTGCAGGACCCATCGTCGCTTCTGTAGTGGCCCCAAATGGCACAGCGCATGGCCCACTAGACATTTATATGAGAAAGAAAGGCATTAGGAGAGAACCGAAAACCCACCACCTGAAATAAAGAGACTTAGCATGCAACCATGCGGTTAGTAAATCGAATTTAGCGTGCCTACAAACGCTGCGCCGGTGCTGCCTACGTTCACTGCGGGACCCGTCGTCGCTTCGGCAGTGGTCCCGAGTGACCTCTCTCATGGCTCACTAGGCCTGCCTGACTAAGGCACTCGCGACCGCATTTTCTACAGCACAATGCGCTCGATGTCGATGGAGTACAATTCATCGGTGCTTGCCGCTTCCACAACTGCCGCTTCTTCTCTGCATGCATGAGGGATTTCTCCCGCACTTCAGCAACTGCCTTCGTGATTAGATCGCGCCATGCACGCCGATCAACCGCCTTCGATTTCCATGATCTGCAATCAAGATTAGAACATGTGAGGCTCACTTTAATCATGTCCTGGTAACGTAACTTTGGTTTCCCCACGTGCCGCTTCCCAATACTCAGCTGACCGTATAAGAGTTGTTTCGGTATCCGCGTGGAATCAATACGGCTGACATGACCGAGCCATCTCAGGTGTCTCAATAAAAGTATGCAGTCCACTGCATACATCCCACTTCGGCGCAACACTTCCGTGTCTGCAACTCTGGCGCCCCAGCCGATCCGCAAAATTCGTCGCAGACACTGCTGATGGAACCGCTCGAGATATCGCACATCCCGCCGGTACATCGTCCACGTTTCACTGCCATATATATATATATATATATATATATATATATATATATATATATATAACGCACTGCTTGTTATGCAGCATCGCTTACTGTGTTGTAAGTACATCACCACTGTGCTGTGTCACACGCGCATCACCAAATATGTGCAATAAACAGGAGAGAAAACCAATTGATTAAGGACAATTAAGCTGTGCAGGTACCAAAACGAGCAAATGCAATGATACTGTTGTCAGGATTTTGGTTGTGGTTCTTCCAAAGTGGAGCAAACATATCGACAAAACAATACTACAAAGAAAGTGTGAGGAAAGAAAAGCAATGAGTGTGCCCGCAGACAACTCACAAATGCAGTTTTTATCCGGGACATCTCATGTTACAATTACCGATTCAACGATGAATGCCGATATGCCGTGCCGCGGGTTGGGATTCTTTGGATCTGTCTTTGCATATACGATGAGTACATCTGCATCGGGGCCGTTGGTTATCCAAAATTTGGACCCATTCAGAATGTAATGGTCACCGTTGGGCTCGGCAATGGTGCGCATGCTGACAACGTCAGATCCGGAATCCACTTCACTCATTGCAAGCGCCCCGATGAGGTCACCGGAGATTAGCTACGGAGAGAAATGTGGTTGGTAAACAAGCATGAACCTCCACAGCAAAAACAATGTCGCTGAGGTCAGTGGAGCCAAGCGCAAGCAAGCCTTTGTCAATAATGCAAACAGAACAGTACTTTTTTCTGTCCGACAGTAATCAGGCGCACAGCAGAAAAGCACAATTTGTCACCAGGTAAAATGAGTGATCCTTCGGTTGAATAATAAAAATCCCGGTGTTGAAATAAGATAAGTGAGGCAGGGATCGAAAAGAATCGTGCATACCCAGTGTACAAAGCAATCGGGTAACTATTTGACTAGCGAGTTGGCAATCGATTCGAGATGCACTGGAACGCAGAGAGAGAGCCTTCAATGACATTAAGGACACATAAATATCGTGTCCGGCGGATATAAAAAACGGTACCTGCAACCTTACCTACTCGATCGGAGTCGTCAGGTTTCGAGCAGCCAATCGCAGCGGCACGGCCCAACCTTAGCGACCATAACAGCCCCAAACCCAATGCATAAAAAAGTTGGATAAAGCTCGTGACTTCATGGCCAAGAAAGGCTCATACAGTGTCATCTTTAATATTGCTGACATGTACCCGACCGATATGCTGGCTTGCTGGGTGTTTCCAACGAAGTGTTCGGCGGCAGCGTTTCAGGACGTGGTGGGTTTTCGCCTGGAAAACATTCTCCCTAGAAAAAGCCACAAATGTCCGTATAATAACATTGCGACGTAGCGGATGTGACTCATCACTAAATAAAGTCACTGCCCAATTTGATTCACTTCGGAAGACTGAACCCCTACTAGGTAACCGACCGAACGAAAGTCGTATGAACTGAATATTCAGTCACCGACTCACATTGGGCGCAATTCGCTGAATTCGCAACGCCGCCTTTCGGGCCGACTATTTAGCCAAAGGCTCGGAGTGGTGTCCCTCAAGAAAACTCCCTACCTCGGCTGGGCAACGGAATAGTATGACGCTCACTGACAAAACTAGGGATCGTTCATCTGATATATCGCGCTCAGCTGCTTTTTCTTCCGCTAATCACACACCTTGAAACGCCACTTGCTAATTTGTTACCAATCACTGTTACCCGTTACCAGCTGATTCCGGTTTCCATGACTATAGTCCCGATGGCTTCGTAGACACCCTTAGAGCTCGCCCAATGGCATTAAACCGGCCTCGGTCCTCGTTCCGTTTGGCATGCAGACCGGGTAGTAGGCTGGTCTTCGCGCATCTAGGAATCCCTCGCCATCGATGTTTGTTGCCTTTCTGAAACGCCATAGCTCGGGGTGGATGAGAGGGTTGATGTGTTCTCCGAACTGGGCAATTTTGTTGCAAGATCTCAGTTGAAATCTCCCACCGACCACGGAGGCATATTTCATTTAGGTCTATCTGGTGACACAGAAACAAATGCGCAGACTTGGCCGGTTTTCGTGTAGTGCTAAGCAACACAGTCGAGGTCGCACTGCTGGACTGGTTTCCGATTAATAGCCGAATGTGTGCAGTTCCGCTTCGCGGATCGTACAGAATCAACAGATGTTGTGAGGAAAGACAGCTTGTTTTTGATCACAACTTACGCCACAACTGACTGCAGTTGCGACTCCGTCAAGGATAATTTCTATCGTGAAATTCACCAGCTCTTGAACAGAGCTCGCAAATCCGATGTTATTGTCTTTGCTAGGGCTTTCAACACACAAGTCGGTAGTCTGTCACCACGTGAGTCACCTCGGTGGTCACCATGCGCTTGATGAGAGCCGCTCAGATAATAGAGATAGATTTCTCACACTGTGCGAAGACAACAATCTGTTTCTATCGAGCACCAGCTTCCGGCATTCGAGACGTTCCGGTGCTTGGCGGTGTACTTCTGCGTCTCAGATTGACCATAGCACAATCAGTTTCAGATGGCGGGTTATTGTATAGGATTGTAGATCCACCTGGTCTACATTTCTTGACTCAGACCATGCTCTTGTTTGTGCAAACATCTGTATGAGTTTCGGAAGGCCACTGAAAACGCAGCACTGTAAGGTAGATACAAATATCTACTCTCTCGGTTCAGCAGTTATAACTCTTCCCGGGCCGATGTATTCAGATGCAACCCACCTCACGATATTGAGGAACACTGGACGTTCATACACAGTTAGCCTGTGGTCTCACTCAGCATCTTACAAACGCCTGGATCTCCATGAGCTCTTTGTATCTGTTTGATCGCCGCAGAAACATCCCAGCGGAGTTTAAACATAATGAAGTGCGCCGTTCTATCGGCAGTCCAAACAAAGCCTACGTAGTGATCGTGAAGCCTGGTTGTGCTTCCGAAATGGAGGCTACTCTCTTTGGCAATACTCGCAAACACTTCCAGCTCATTCGATCCACTGATCACAGAAATTCTGATGTAAATGAGACTATTTGCAAAGCGGATGGTTCGCGGACTGCTGAACATGTTCATTCTCAGTTCAACTGACCTTTACCGTCCACTTGTACACCCTGCGAATGCAGTTGCCAGCCCTGGGTAATCACAGTTGATCCATCCAGCAAAGGGGAAGTTTGTCTTGCGATTCAACACCTAAGACGATTCAAGGCTACAGGCTCAGATGGACATACTTCGGAGCTGTTCAGGTATGGAAGCTCAATCATCAATACCCAGCTAGCCTCATTATTATCCAAAATCTGGATTGAAGAAAAGATACCTTCTTCCTGGGGTGAGTTTTATTTCCTCGATGTTTAAGAAGTGTGCATGCACTTCACGCTCCAATCACTGGTGGATTAGTCTCATCTCGGTTGACTCCAAGCTACTGGCATGCATTTTACTCCGTAGACTATACCCAAATCGTTAATCGCAGTGCCGGGAAGAACAAGCTAGCTTCCGTCCTGGTCGCAGATGTGCGGATCACATATTCTCACTCCTCAAAGTCCTTTAACACCGCCACCTATACTATAGACCCACCATCGTTGAAAGCCTAGACATCCGTGTTACATTCGACTCGGTTGATCGACGTGCGCTATGGCGCTGCTTGTTAAAGAATGGGGTCCAAAAAAAAGTACACTGCTATTCAGCGTGAATACTACCCCCATATCTGCGGCAGAGTGAGGGTCTATGGCAAGCTTTCGTCGTCCTTCGCTGTCAATAGCCGTGTGCGACAGGGCTGCCCTTTGTCCCCGTCCCTCCTCAATTCTGCTATTGAAGACGTCCTATCCAGTTCTGGAAGGTAAGAAAAATGCTGGTCTACAACTATTTCTGGGCAAGTGAGTGACCAACTTATATCATGCCGATGGCGTCGCCTTACTTGGTGACGACTCAAAGAGCACCCAAACCATTCTAGACCGTTTGACAATTGAGGCATCTAGATACGGAATGTGCTTTGCCCCGTCAAAATGTAAAGTGCTGTTCCAGGGTTGACACTCGCCCGTTCCCGTGCTCACTTTTGAAGGTACATAGCATGAACACGTGATAGCATTGTATACCTGGGCAGCTGGGTGTCGGCTGATGGCGCTATCAACAAGAAAATTTCTCTCCGCATCATCAAAGTCCGGTCTGCGTTCGCCAACCCTCAACACATGTGGTGTCGTCAGGATGTCGCCCTCTCAGGAAAAGATCGCGTTTGAAATGCCACCGTTCGGAAAGTGTTGCTATATGACAGTGAGTCATGGCCAGTTCGTGTAGGTGACATGCGCCGGTTCTCGGTTTTCGATACCGAATGCATGGGGAGAATTGCTCATGTGCGGTTGCAACAACGTGTCTGCAACGGTAAATTCAGATACCGTTTCTTAAGGAATGCGAGTATTCCCATCAAAAAGCTGGCCTTACTGCGCCCGTTAAAATGGCGCTCTGTTTGCTCGTGCAGGACGCGACTAGAAGAGACCACGCGATGGTCAAGCATCCATCTAACGACAAAATTTGGAATCATTGATTTCATGCCTGGAAGCCGTTGGATCCCCACGTCTGCTGGTTGGGGACAAAGGAGGAAGAGTGTTGACGGTTGGAAACAATACGAAATATGACGCGTTATCGAAACCGCTATCCAATGGGAAAGTGGGTGTGCACATCGCATTGACGCGAACGCTCCTGAAACGACTTGATGTTTCGATGTTCTTTATTGGCTCAACTTGTTTTCCCACAGAATTAATGAGTTTTCCTGGGAAAGTTCACTCTCCCAGACACAGACCCTGAGACGGTTCAGTCTATTTAGTGAGCTAGGCTTCACAACTCCAAAACACAATCCAGTAAAACCGTCATGCATCCGATTTCCCACATAGCTTTACCGGCCACCAACGTGCAACTCGTAAACCAACCACAGCAGTTTTCGGTAGCGGCTGGAATCTAGCACCGCCACTCATAGTGCCCAGTCTTGCTAGTCTAACGAAGCAACTCTTTTTCAACCAGCTTCTAAGTCTAGTACAATTATGCCAGTCTTACTGCGATTTCAGTGCACCGGATCTTCTACTGCCGTCTTTACAATGGCGACCAATGCATGCAACTGCAATGCCATACCCACACTACTCATTTAAGTTCTTAAGTTGCCGTACAAGCAAGGCACTGTAAAGATGTTTCCCACCAATGCTCGCACACTGAGAAATATAATATACATGGTGCGTTAGTTGACTGCTCTTTCAACTCCCGAGTTACTTCTCATCACCGGAACCTAGCATGACCAGGATGCGTTCTACCTAATAGTGGGCTCTACACCATTCACGAACACGACACGTTGACAATGGGTGCGTGTGCGCCATTTACGTCCGGGGCCAGTTACGCATTCATCCTATAGCAGACCCCTAACTCAGTGTCAAAAATGAACCTTTCTACATATGATTGAATGTGTTTATAATCCAACTCATCCGACATCCGCTTTGAGTGTGTTTTTGAGGTGTTCTTTAATCAAAAGACAATGGAGGTGACTTTAATCTGCCAGAGATTTTCTGAATAGGGCATACCACATCACAAAGGCTGTTGCGCTTCGTTGTTGAAGTATACATCCAAGAATGAATACAAGTGTTTCATAAACGTACGGATACAAC